GCTAAAAATTAGTACGTAGCCTTATTTTATATAGCTAGCCTACCATATATAATAATAGCAAAAGCACACAGGCATGCAAACATGCTTTTTTACAAAATTACCTTTCAATCTTAAAAATATATATAGATTTGGCTTTTTGATTTGTTTATATCATATATACTACACACTTATACTCCTTGCAAAGATACAACTTATCAAGAGGAATAGGATATATATAAAAAACTTACTTTTCTTTGTAATATTTTTATAGATTACAAAAGTTATCGAAAAATTTATAAAGTGGATTTGCTGTTCACTTCTTCTTTTCTCTTGTTTTAGACTATTGTTTCAGAAATAACAAAAGAATTTTTATCAATAAAGACAATGATTTTTACATTCCTAGATGAGTAATAAGAACCAAAAGTGTAATATAAAGATTGTGATAGTGAAATAAAATTAACATTCTCATATTTCTATATGTTATAACTACTCATAAATTTTTTGTCTTCTCTGCTTCCCATCTTTGTAAAACTCTAAAGAATGAATGAATTAGTGTTTTAAATTATTTATATATTTTTATGTTTAATAGAAATTTCAAGTTCGTGCAAAATTTAATATTCCCATTTTTATTTGGGACCAAAAAAGCCCAAAACCTTTTATGGGTTCAGACAAACTTCTAATTCTGAAAAGTACTCAATCAGTATTTTATTGTATAGGTCGTGTTAGAAATTAGAAATTTTCTCCATGAATAAATTCAAAAGATAGAAATTTCTTTGAACCATTGACAATTAAATTCATGAATTTTAAATTCACCAAACAATAACATTTTTTTTTACATAACATTTCTTTATAAAACTTATAGTTGACATTGACTAACATTGACTTGAGCTAAATTGAGCTCAACTCAAATGTAGACTATCCTTTTATCATGTAGTAAATCCTCCTCCCATGGCCCCGAAGATGGAAAAAGTGAGCATTATATGGGATATGGCTACGAATCTCCCACTCAAGAAACTCCTACTTGGGATTGAAACAGTGAGATGCCAAGACTCTAGGCTATTGTTTGAAACATATGATATAGTAGTCATTTTCTTGTTCGGTATTGATGTGTTGCACTTTCCAATAGGTGAAACAGTACCTGCAGCATCAGTGGCAAAAGATTTTGAGTGGAAGAACTTTAATCCAGGATTTCATGTTCCAAGCTCGGTACTTACAGCACAAAGTCATCAGTGCTGCCTCCAGTGGCCATCGTTGTGTAAAAGCCATGGCTGTGGATCCTGCTTTGATAGAGAGAACGCAGCTTTTCTTCAATCTGAAACTTCGACTCTTACAGAAGGAAGGATCTATACACTAGGATTTCCTTCCTTGGAGTGTTCAAGGTGCATTGGTTAGTTTTGTAAGACATTAGCTTTATAGCCTATAATTTTCAGGCTCTCTGTAGCTCCAAGTGAACCTCCCTAAATAGATATTTCCACCATGCTATGGAGATTCCTCAAATGACACACATGAGCACCTTGAGTGTTTTGACAGTTATTTCAATTACCATTCTTTATTTAGCTGAACATCTGGCATTTTTGGAAATACAAGATGCTTTGGAATATCCAATCATGCATGGTATAAATATAGCGAGGGTATTAAATGATATCCCAATCATGATCTTTCTCTTACTGGATTGAGAACTTTGGAGTGGCTCATTATCAATTCCTTTTGTTTCAGCATAGGATTAGGCTGAATCACTGTTACTATTTGAGAAGGTTTCAATTGATGTATTGGTGGACAATTTTCAGCAAAAGAGGTTTGGTAGATCACCAACTCCACTCCAAGCTTTTTGCATTCTGAAAACATCATCAATAATCTGTAGTAGATTGCTTGGCCAAGAGTATTGCCACATACAAGAAGCTTATCATCAAAAGGTCGTAAGGTCGTAATTTCCCAACAAAGAATTTTCTTCACTATTTCACTGAGGGGGCACTGTCTTGTCTCTGGATTAAAAAAAAGAGAATCAAAATCAAAAGAGAACTTTCGTAAATGTCTGGAAAACCTCCCTTTGTTGTGGAGCAACATCTGTGACGACAAAGAGGAGACTTCACTACATACCCACCGTATTCAAGGTGTTCTTTCAGCCTTGCAAGTTGATCCGTGATACCGGCTATTTGCCTTGAGACATTTGCCGGATGTGGAGGATGATCCAAGTTCCAGCCAAGCTGCTTCTCCTCAGATCGTGGAGCTCAGCCTGGCACTTTGAGATCTTCCAGCCGGTTCTCATGCGCAAGAAAGAGAATCTACAAAGCAGTCAGCAGAGAAAATATTCTTTCCATAGGATTGCTTCAAGGCATCACCAACTTCAGCATAGGTGTACATGATATGGCGTTTCGTATTCAACTGAATATTCGGAAGCTTTTTGGATCACGCACATTTGGTCAAACAAATTTGCTTGGAGGCGGCTTGACGCATCCAAGCCAGAAAAATACCCATGAAACATTTAGAAAGTTCATGACAACTGTGGGATTTGAACCCACGCCCTTGAGGATTGGAGCCTAAATCCAACGCGGCCAAGCTGTCATTTATTTGGCAAATCATTCTATTCAACGTAATGGAATTAACAATGCTTCAACGGGAAGAGCTCACATCTTATAATCACCAAAGTCATTTCCCTGGTTTTTGTTCTAGTTGCTTCGTTTTCTTTCCTGGCCTGGTCTAGACTGACGAGCTATCAGCCTCATCCTCTTCCTCCAGGTGAGCAGGAAAGAAATATCTCCTTTCAATCTACAGATGGATTCTTCAGAACGCGGATCTTCGGTCTTGATCGGGCGATGTCACTGCACCATGTCCAAGCTCCCACCATAAACTCCACGATCTGATGGAGTTTCTGAAGGGAGAGGTCTGTTTCCTCCTTTCAGACAACTGGAAAACTAATAAGCACCAGAAAGACAGCTCCAACTTACGCTGGCTTAGAGAAAACTCGTATATGCAGAGGTATGCGTGCGCTAGAGAGGTGAGACGCTCAGCTTTAAAACTAGTGGCTTTTTAAGTTCCTGAGCGATTTCGATTTTCTTGTTTCTTGACAGATAAAGGACGCGAGAAAAGTTGGAAGAGATGTTCTAAAACACACTAAAAGAATCCAGAAGCTTTTGCATAGGTTTGGGTTTCCTCAATCTCATGGTTTTGTGCCAGCAGGCAGCAAATTAGCATTCTTGGCCTATTTCGAAGGGTGTGAACATGGAAAATATTAATATCTATATTTAGTTTACAATTTCAATATATAAAGATTTTGGGAAAAGGCATCATATTAGGTTATTAACAATGTATGTGGGAGATGGAGTCACAAAAGGAAGCTCGCAAGCTTAGGGAATCAGCACAAAGGTCGAAAAAGAAAACAGGATGGCTTCTCCGAGCGTTGCTGTCATTGTCGCAGAGGCTATATTTTTTAAAGGGCTTACTAACAAGGGTGCCAGACTGAATTGAGCGATGGTTTTTTTTATGTCTGCCTATAATGGTAGTGATGTTAGCAGCTGCATCAAAGAGGCGTCACCACCAGATCCATGCCCGCGGGCCCGCAAACCCTAGTAACCAAGTATAGCCACGGTAGCTCCGGGGAGGATCTTACAGAAGGCGTGATTCGTCATTCCTCCTCCATAGCCGACGCGGCACACCGACGGGAGAACTTGCTGGAGTCGAGAGAGTCGAGAGTAGAAATAATGAAGTTTCCCTGGTTTCCATTGGCCATAAGATTAAAATTTTAGATTAATGAATCAACTATGAGAGATTCTTTAAAGGGATCATCGCCATCCTTGATTGAACCATGGATACTTAGCCTATTACTGCACAGTCTCTAGCTCCGACTGAGGAATTCTATCATCACACATCCATATTCCACCTTTCTGGATTTTTAAATTGTTTATAATCAATATTTCAAACTCTTCTTTTTCATGATTTTCAGATTAAAATAACTAATATTTGCCACGCGGCACGTTTCTAGCCGTCAATTTTAACGGTTGCGTGTCGGATGCCGTTTTGATGCCCGTCAAATCTGACCTGTTTGTGACGTGCCGGACGGGCTGGCGTCAGGAACCCTAGAGTGGAGGAGTTTTCTTGGTGCTGGTGTTTCTCGCTTCCACAGCTCGGCATTGCCCCAATCGCGACGAGAGGACGCATCCATAGCAATCGACGCGATGATTCTGAGGTACGCGACGAGCGAAACGGGAGATGTCGAGCCTCATTTCGCTTGGTTTTTTTTTTTCTTGGTTTTCTTGGACGGGCGGGCGGGCGGGCAGGAACGATTGCTAGAAGTTCCTCTCTCTCTCTCTCTGCCTCCAGCCAGCTCCAGATTTGTTCCAGGATGCAAGCAGCGGCATCAGCGTCGCCGACAATGCACAAGCAATTCAGCGATTTGATGGCTCTTCCCAACGCCGAGATGAAAGTGGACGGTAAGTTCTTTTGTTTTTGTTTCTTCCTTTCGTTTCTCTTCTTTCGCTCTTCGTTTTAGCTCTTGCATTGAGTAGAGGATTGGGCAGGAAATGAGAGTGACTCGGAAGTAAGAAAGGTTCCCGACTTACCTGGAGGTAAAATCGTGACTGCGTTGCCAGAGCAAGACACGGCAGCATCCAATTCTCGCAAGAGGGGTGCTGTTCCTGCTGACAAAGAACACAAGCGATTGAAAAGGTACTCCCATCTTTCACTCGTAGTTCTAAGCTCGGCTTCTTTGACAGTTTGTTTCTTTTCTCTAACTTGAAACAAAGCTTTTCTTTGTGCAGACTTTTACGCAATCGAGTCTCGGCACAACAAGCCAGGGAGAGAAAAAAGGCTTACGTTGTTGAGCTCGAAGCAAAAGCCCGGGATTTGGAGCTCAGGAATGCGGAGCTAGAGGAACGGGTAAACACGTTACAAAAGGAAACATTCATGCTGCGACAGGTGAAAAAAGCGAAAGTTTTTTTGTTCCTACATTGAATCAAAGCTTCCAAATTAATCGCAGATTTTGAAGAACATAAAGAACAATGGCTCCACTGCTGGACTAGAACAAGCACAGTAAAAAACCAAAAACTTTACTTGAGGGGGCCAACGTAGCAACGAAAGTCGGCCACCACTGTAAGATTGTTTCTCCACAATCAGTTTTGGTAACCATCTTCTCGGCAGCCGCACTGTAAATTTGCTTCCTGTTTCATCACAGGAATTCTCTCTGCCCTCAACAGGGAAAAAAAAAAAAAGAAAGAGAAAGAGCTGTAAGTCTTCCCTTTATTGTATTGTAAGTTCGACGAGCTCGCTATGTATCCGAAGTTACCTCATTGCAAAATGCCTTTCACATAAACCATGCCTTTCTCCATGAATCCCAGCTCCCTACGAAGCTGCTCGATTTGCTCGTCATCGCCTTGAACCAATACATCTGTGGAAGACTCATCGTCGGCCACCACGAGCTTTACTTGGATTTCCTCTTTTCGAGATGCATTCGTCCAATAGTAAGCGCCACTGCATCAGTTTCATGAGTGACCTCTAACGAGAAACTTAAGAAATCTGTGACAAACTTACGCGAGGGGACTGAAAGCCGTGAGCCAATACCACTTGTCTCCTACCACTGGAACTGTGATCGTGAGTACCAAAGCTGCGCTAGCTAAGCTCAAAAACGTGCAAAAGATGATGAAAGCAGCTTGGCCCCGGCTTGGAACCATCAGTCCTTCGAATCTAGAACACGGAAACAAAATGACGGGAATTGCTGGAAAGCAGAAACAAACGTTTACCTGACTACTTCACCGCTGTCGACAATGGTGAAGTTGTTTCTGGTGAAAAACGATGAGATTTCACCAGCAATTTGTTTTGGTGCTTTGCCACTCTCTTGAGATGGGCCAGGAACTACGTAAGTCTTCCGGACTATCTGAAAGGTGAAAAGAGATTATTTAGTTTTCAGATACTCAAAACAGTACCTTAGATTTTGCCGAGCGTTTGATGAGCGACCAGAGACCCGGCAATGCGAGCACGAACAATCCCAGCGAAGTGTAATAACTCGCGGCCGAGTAGCCAGGACCTGCTTCTTCCGCTGCCATGGCTATGTCCGATTGAAAAAGTAGCAAAGGAGCATGTAGCCCGAGGAGTGTGGCGCACAGCCCGGCCTTCTCATCTTCTAGGCCTCTGGCTCGAATCCTCGAAGACTCTGATGTTTCTTCCAGCAGAGACGAACAAATAGTTACCTTGTGTGACCGGCATAAGGGAGTCCTTCTCGGCTGAATCTTTGGAACTAGTGACAATGATGGCAATTGCAATGCCCATGACTTTGCCATTGTCAAGACCTTTGTGTGCGTCCCATAGATCTCAGTTATTTCCTTACCTCGTTAGAAATATCCATGGAAGAAGAAATGCCTTTGCATTAACCGGTACTCAATGCTAACAGTGGTGGATAAACTCAATCGCAAGGAAAACAAAATCTCCACGAGCTCAAGACTGGCACAAACAAGATTAAAGCTGGAAAGAGCTCACAAAATGAAAGACTAATACCTTCGTGACAATGTTGTTTGAAAGCCAGTCGAGACCTTCGTAGAGACCCTCTCCAGAGGTAGCACAAGTGCTTTGGATGTACCTAGAGCCAAAAGAACGAGCGTTAGGATCCCCTCAGAGAAGGAAAAGAGATGCTACCAATGGCGCTGCCTGAGTGAATGTAGCCCGAGCTTGTCTGTTATTTCAGCAGCGTTCATGGCATTTGGTAGATCCTGCTTGTTGGCAAACACGAGTAAGACCGCTTCTCGCAACTCGTCCTGGACTTGAGAAAAAGAAAATCAATGAGACAACAATGTCAACTTGGAACTTCAAAGAGCAAACCTCGTTTAGCATGCGATGGAGCTCATCTCGAGCCTCCCCAACACGATCTCTATCGTTGCTATCCACAACGAAGATCAAACCTTGAGTGTTCTGGAAATAGTGTCTCCAGAGTGGCCGGATCTAGATCACAGATAAATTCTCAGTCAGCATGAGAAAAAAAATCTAGTACCTTGTCCTGACCGCCAACATCCCACACCGTGAAGCTAATGTTCTTATACTCGACAGTCTCGACATTAAATCCTGCTCCAAACCAAGAAATAAATCTCGAAAAACCAAAAGGTAGCGACCATACCGATCGTAGGAATCGTCGTCACGATTTCTCCCAGCTTGAGCTTATATAATATCGTGGTCTTTCCAGCGGCATCCAGCCCCACCATGAGAATGCGCATCTCCTTCTTCCCCAGGAATCGCTGGAACAGCTTCGCGAAAGAAAGCCCCATTTTGCCCTGCCAGCACCAGATCTAGCTTCTTAAGATCCATCCACGGCCGCGCACGCCGATCCAATCGATCAATCGATCGATCGAGGATCGATCGCTCGACGATCTCCACGAAAGAAGATTTTTACCTCACTGCCTTGGCGCTTTGCGTTCTTTCTTCCACGCTTGACCGGACAAGACAAGCAGCCCTAGCTAGGACAACCGCCAATTGGCACATCCAACCGTTGGCATAGTGCCCATCGTCACCATCCACGTGGCAGTTTGTTCCTTCTGGCCAATGGCGGGGCTAGAGGCCTGTGGTGCTGCCAAATGGCGGCATTCCGGAAGAATCCTTTTTTAACTCTTTTAGCGGCCATATGGCACATATTTGAAAAACGCTATGGACGGCAAGGCGCGAGGAGGTAGTATTGTCGCATTCCTCGGCTATCACATCCTTCTATCTAGCGCTAGGGTTTTAGGGCTCTCTAGACTCTCGGACAAGATTCTTCACGGCGAGTTCTCTCGGTGCCAGATTCTCTCGCAGTCCCAATCAAGCACGGCGTTGAGAATCTTCCAGTGATCGACCACGGCACGCAGAGAATCGGGGTTTTCTTGTGATATTTCGTCGTGATCTAGTAGGTTCTTGGCAGAAATTTTCCACTAGGCGCGAGAAATTCCGCGAATCGATCGCCTTCCAGGATTCTTCTGGCTCGAGGATGGCCGATTTCTGGTACTTTAGCAAGCGTAGGAGGATCATGAAGCTCAAGAGGCCGTTTGCGCTGCTCCATGCCGCGAACCATCATCAGACGTATCCAAGCCATCCGGGAATGCTGCTAGTGAGGGACTTGATCGAATTGGCACACCAGGTTTCGGTTCACGAAAGACCACAGGCGTGCTACCGGCACTGCGTTTCGGGGATTGTCCGGCGGGTGAAGCTCTTGGGTCCATTTTTCGAGGAGATCAGGGATACAAATCCACCGCTGCCTCCGTCAGCACTTTTGGCTTTTAGGAGTATGCACGAGTTCCTCGCCAAGTGTAATCTCCTCGTGGATTCGTGTAGCCAGAGCAGTAGCATAACGTGGGCGATGGTGAGCTCCACAGAGACGATCCAAAAGTTTGAGGTGGCCAACGAGGAGATGGCCGCGGCTTTGGAGGTAATTCCGCTAAGTTTGCTGGAGATCTCGGACGAGATAAAGGAGCACGTCCTGCTCTTGAAGTTGCAAAGCGCTAGAGGCTGGTGCAAGGCCTTAGATCCCGGGCAGGAGCTCCTCAAAGCCGAGCTATGCGATCTTATGGAAAGAGGTGACGGACCATCATCAGACGTTTCCCTCGAGAGACTCCAGAAGCTCTTTGCTGGCCTCGGCTTGAAAAATTGGAGCGACTGTAAGCTGGAACTTACGGGACTGCTGGAAGAATTGAGAGAGAAGGTCGCGTCCAGAGACAAGGTGGCATACTCGACATTGCGAGGTTTGATACGTCTCGTCCGGTCCACGGCAAGGCTCTTGTATAGAGCTGGGGAAGAGGCCTTCGAGGAGACTATGGCCGAGCTTGATGGTTTCAAGGAGAGAGTCGGAGTTCTTCCAGACGAGTTCCGGTGCCCGATCTCCTTGGAACTTATGAGGAACCCGGTGACCATTGCGACCGGGCAAACATACGACAAGGAACACATCCAGAAATGGATTGCTGCCGGTCACTTTACGTGCCCCACAAGCGGCCAGAAGCTGATACACCTCGGCCTCATTCCAAACTACGCTTTACGAAGCCTCATCTTCCATTGGTGTGACGACAACAACGTCAGCCTCGAGTTATTCGACGCTGGCTTTCCCGACGACGACATTTCCAACTCGAGAGAGGCTCTCGAGATCGCAAAGACCACCTCGGCATTTCTTGTCGGCAAGCTGGCCACAGGCTCGATCGATGTCCAGAGACAAGTGGCTTACGAGCTTAGACTACTCGCGAAGAACGGGACGGAGAACAGGATCTGCATTGCGGAAGCTGGCGCTATCCCTTTCCTGGTCCCGCTGCTCGCGTGTAATGACTCCAAGACCCAAGAGAATGCTGTCACTGCGCTGCTCAACCTTTCGATCTACGACAACAACAAGAAGCTGATCATGGCCGCGAATGCTTTGGACCCGATACTCTCGGTGGTGGAACAGGGACTTAGCATGGAGGCTCGGCAAAACGCTGCAGCGGCGATCTTTAGTCTGTCCTCCACGGACGAGCACCGGATCCGGATCGGCAGCAGGGCAGTGGCGATCCCGGCGCTGGTGACGTTGCTGCTGGAAGGATCGCTCCAGGCGAAGAAGGACGCGACGAGCGCGCTGTTTAATCTGCTGCTCTATCCGGGGAACAGGGCCAGGGTGGTGAACGCGGGAGCTATCGAAGTTTTGATGGCGATGCTCTCGAAAGATGGCGATGTCCAGGACGATGCGTTGGCGGTGCTAGCTCTGCTAGGAGAGAGCAACGAAGGATTGAAAGCTCTCAGCGACGATCTACTGGCGATTCCACTGCTGGTGAATCTGCTGCGCACTGGGAGCGTCAAAGGGAAGGAGAACTCGCTGTCGGTGCTTCTGGCGCTGTGCAAGCACGGTGGCGATATGATCCGGGACTGCCTCATGGTGGAGCAGCAGACGCAGCAGGAATCGCGAGACATGAGCTCCGGATCGTCCAGTGCGCTGCTTCTGGAGAGCTTGCAGGAGCTGATCGCGTCTGGATCGCCTCGCGCGAGGAGGAAAGCAAGGTCTCTCCTCAAGTTCTTGTCCGTACGCTAGTGTGAAATTTATAAGCTTCCCCTGTCCAGCCTTGGGAATTCTTCTTTCTGGCTCTTGCTCGGCCTCTTGCAAGTTAAATTAAAGAAGAGAGCAAAAACAAAAGAACTTACGGATTGTCTAAATGCCAACACGAATGGCGTGTTGGGAGATGTCCTTTTGTTCCAGACAGCTCCCCGTTGCGAAGATTGTGCTTTGATGTGTTTCTCTTACAGCCCGGTTGTAGGTTTGCTCCATAGGGCTTTTCTCTGGACTGGAAGCGCTGCGTGTTTTCTTCACGACCTCTAGCTCAATGTAAGAACTTCACTTCGAAAGAGGCCAAGAATGAGAGTCCGCTGCCTGGTGAAAACGCCTTGCATCAACTGAGAGAGGATTAGCATTCTGGATTCTCTCGTGTGTTTCCTCCTAGTGGATGAACATCTCTTACCTCTGCAAGAAAAGAGCTTTCTTCTCAAGCCGGTGAGACCAATTACAGTCCTCAACATACTTACCGAGCAAACACATAAATGTTCCAAACGCATAAACTTAGATTATGCTCTCTGGCTGTGTTTAATGCTATAAACTCCAGCATGGCAACAGATGCCATCAGGAAAGTGAAACAAGGCTATGATCCCTCACTTGACCTAAAAGGTGACTTTGTTTCTTAACAACTGCTTTCTAGCTTTGCATTTTATAAGGTTGCCAAGGATTTTCTTCCCTTAAGAAGGATTAGAAATCAGGTATTGCTAAGCTTATGTGTTGTAGGTTTGTGATTTTAGTGCTAAACTTTTATAGCCTCAAGGTTTGAAGCCACTTGAAGAGGTGCAGCACTTCAAAGACTTCAAATTAAAGAAATATGTGGAAGCTACGATGGACACGGATGACTCTATGACAAATATACATAATCAAAAGACGCACCTCTAGCCCAGCAGTCATTCCAGTTTTTTTATATCCACAGCCAATCTGGAGTGGACATTTCTCTCGCTGGAGCAACTCCAGCGACTCGCGAGCTACTGTCTTGCTGCATTTACGCAAGCACGATGCCATGCACATGATTCTGCAGCTCATAGAAACTCTTATCTAAACAATCAAAGTGGCTCTTCATCCAAGCCAGTCTACGCCACAGTCCCACGTTTTGCTCATGTCCGTGCTCGCAGATTCAGCGATCTCACCAAAAGTTGGAATTGTTTCACTTGGTAAGAACGATTCTGATAACTGCCATATAACGATTTGCTGTACTCCTCTGTCCAGCAAATACAGCCCAGCCCGCAAAATGTCGCGTAGAAGCACCCAGCTTTGTAGCCCTGCTTCCTGAATTCACATCCAAAGTGAGCTATATGAAACTACTTGCAACATTGAACATGTTTGGATCGTTCTTGCTTTTTATGAAATACGAACGAACGAACAAGAAATCACACTGCTGCGGCCGGAGCCGGGACCGGGTCGGAGTCTCGTTTGTTTGTTTTGAACTATCTATACCGGTGCCCGCACGCTGGAAGTCTTAAATTGCATCCTCCTCCTAGTGAAGTCTGCTTTCCCAAGTCGAAAGTGGCTTCCATGATCAAAGCGATTTCCACAATATTCTCTCGAGTCTTGCTGAAAGCTAATGAATCCTGGTGTGTGAGGCCACATCTTGAAAGAAGAACTCTGGAAAAAGAGAGATCTTTCAATGAAAGAGCAGTTGGTTTTTATTTGAACTTGGGAAATGTGGTGGAAAAATGCGAGAAGTCAGTGAGGATAGAGGATAGCTCAAGACTCTGAAAAGAAAATCGGAGAGTGAGCCACTGAGTTTTTATTTGAAAATGGCCGCCATAGATCTATAGCGGCACGCATACACATCCACACATTATCCATTTTACAGATTGCCAGACATGAGTGTAGACTTGGGGCACATCTTGGTGCAACCATAGCCATTCTTCTCACAGCAGTAGTGCTCCACACCATTCTCGCAAAGCCACACGCAGCCGTATCCATTCTTGAGGCAGCACGAGTAGTTCTTGGATGAGTCACAATTTTGCAGGCACCCATAGCCGTTCTTGAGGCAACAGTAAGTGTCGCCCACAACACTTGTGAGCACTGCAAAAACAAAACATGGAAACAACGAGCTTAGCTCCTGGCCATGGGTGAATATATGCTGAGCTACCTCTGTTTTCCACCATAGTAGTCATATATCTCACATCCTCCTCCTCGGCAAGGATCGTTACTGTGGAACAAGAACACACATTTTATGATAGATGTATGCAAATAAAACTTTGCTACCTCCATCATAGACACGAGCAGCATTGGTAATTGCTAGAAACAGCAATGGCAGCACAAGAACGGAAGAAACTCGAGGATAGGCCATAGCTATTTGAAGCAAGCTAACAAGAAACAAACAAAGAAGGATGCGATAGAAAGAGGCTCGGATGTGCTCAATTTATAGAAGGATTAGATTCTAGAATTTTGGAGAATATTCTTTTCAAAAAATTGTATTTAATATTAGCTTTTATTTTATCATACATCCTAAGACTTTCTACATTGTGATCCTTAACTAGGGACAGTGACAGCTAATATTATGTATCCATACAATTACATTGACTTGTTTCTGCAAAACTTATTGTCTTGGGTTTGATCTTATCTAAATGAACACTAAACTATTCCATTCGGCCAAGAACGAGCTCTCATTGTAGTTTCAAGTAGCTCCCTTTGGATGTGAATCCAGGAAGCAGCCACAAAGCTGGATGCTTCTTCCCAAACAATCGCCTCAGGTTGTGCCACCCGGGCCGCAAAAGCTCGCCATCGCCTGCTTGGATCGACTCCAGATACGTCTGCCCTGCGTACAAGAGCTGTATCTGCTGGCGGAGGAGTAGAGCAAGCCCGATCAGAATCGCCATGGCGGTGATGACGAGATAGATGAGTGCCAGAGACCTCGCCGATACACTCGGCAACCCCTTGTCTTCGTCCTCCTCAAACTCTTCAAACGCCTCGAGAAAGCTCGCTGCTAGAATTGTTCCCACCGAGTGAAACAATCCCCACTCGCCAGAGCCTTGGTATCTTTGCAGCAGTGGTGGCCAGATCGCTAAGCCCGCGAGCACGGACATGAGCAAAACGTAGCAGCTGCTTATCGTCGCGTAGACCAGGAACAGGATGAAATGCCGGTGATTGTGAGCTCCAACACAGTTCCCGATCTAGAGTATACCAAAAAAGGAGAGAGTTTCAGTTCAGGTGAAAATCAAAACCACAAAAAGAAGACAACGTACGAAAGGGCAGTGGTGATCCATGTCCATGACGCAAGTTCCGCAAGTTCTACAGTGATGGGCTTGCGGAGGCTTGGGACATTCGCAGTAAGCGCAGTACGTGTAGCCATCTAGAGCTGATTTGCCAATGGGCTGGAGTGATCCCCACGGCACCTTCGCTAGAGCTCCTGCTGGAGTGAATGCTGCTAGACTGTAACTCGCAAGCGTTGCTCCAGCCAGAGAAAGCGCGATGAAAATGTGGAAGCATCCACTCCAAGTTGGCTGTGGATATAAAACCGGGTACACAGTCCATATTCCTCCACCTGGAAAGCAAAGGTCTCAGAGGGTGATTGCAAAATCCTATCTTTGATCGTTTTAGAAGGAAAGCAAAGTACCTTGAGAACTTACCAGTGACAAGAGCGATGATCATGAGAACCACTGCCACCAAGCTCCAGTCTCGGATGGTAGCACACCTGCGCCATCGCTGGCTGCTTCTCTGCTTGGGCTTGCTCAGTGTGACCGCTCCACACCATCCACACTTGAATGCCTCGGAGAAGAAAGGGAGGATGAGATACGAGGAGCACCCCCAGCACTGGCTCTCCCATTCGCGACTCCCATCGTCGGCGGAAGTAACAAGAAGGGAGGGATGGATAGCATCCCCCGCATCAGCGGGAGGAGCTTCTACATCCATCCCCGCGAAGAACCCTAGAACAAAAGTATCACTGATTACAATTTAAAAATTTGAACTTTAGCACCCTCTCGCCCTCACCATAAACCTGGAGAAAATCGAAAGGAAGATCAAGACAACGGGAATTGGCATTGGATAGTGAATTACCCGACGACCACTTGCCTTGATGGAACCATGCATCGAGAAAGCGCTTGTTTTTCCTGCTTGATCAAACTTATCGATTTGGATCACCACCAGCGGCCTGGAAAATTAGGTGGTGATATCAAATGCTTCACGTCGATCCCACACGTCCTAGAGCCTGCATGCAAAGAAGATGTCATGGGTAGAACCAATCGATCGAGCCATAAAAACCGAGTTTTTACCTCTACACTGTTGCCAAAGAAGATGGAGCTTGCTCGAGCCAGTTTGATCCTAGCAGTCCTCCTCCAAGCGTGCCTGCTTGTTTCTAGCAGGGAGGTTCGCCATGACCACCAGAGAAACTCGCACGTAGCGCTCACGGGTACGGTCGTTTGCCGTGACTGCTCTCACTCCCAGCAAGGACTCAAAGGTATACTTCGAGCTTCTCTCTTCTAGTCTCGCTGCCTCTTCTCTTTTCCTTGCAGGAGTCTATCTCAACCTGATCTGTGCCGATACCAATCGATCCAGGATCATCCACACCCGGTCCAGTGGCGAGTTCGTGGCTCATCTCAGAAACCCGAGTGCCAAATGCAGCCTGAGCGTGATAACGAGCTCACTTCCACGGTCTTGCGACAATGCTGTACCTCAAGATGGTCGAGAGGTGGATATAGATTTCGCGCAAACCAGAGGCAGCCGGCACGTCGCGGCTTTTGTCTTCCAACCGGAACAATGTCCCAGTGCTTCTGCATCGCCGCCTCAAGTCTCCCATCCCAAAAAGTCTCACCACCACAATCGCCACCACGGCCATAAACGCTCCCACCATCACCAGTCACGGCACAAAAGCCCGGACCACGGGCACCATTCTGAGCATAAAAGTTCTCGTCACCAAGACGCTGCTCTTGCTCCATCTCCATCGGCGACCGTAACAGCTCCAGCAGCATCCATCGCTAAACCTGTTGTCAAGGAAGCCAGTCCTCCAGCCGAAAGCCCAGCCGAAAGCCCAGACTTGTCACCGGCATTCTCTCCGCTGCAAAGTCTACCATCTTCTCGAGAATTCCCAGTCGCACCTTCGCAGTCTCTTACTCCACTGTCACAGCCACCGGAGGAACCATCCCCATCTGATCTATTTCTTCGTCCTCGGCCCGGACAAGATGGCACTTCAAGCCCATCACCTTCTTTGACAGAAGCTCCGGCGGTACCACCACCTCTTGTAGAAACCCCGGAAGAATCCCCACAACTTTCTCCTTCGGACTCGCAAAGCCAAGCTCCCACCGAAGCATTTCTCCCGCAAAGTCCCGATCAAGAAGTCCCAGTATCGCCACCAAGCTCATCATCTTCTCCATCGTTGTCGCCAACAACTGGTGTAGCAGACACAACTCCAGCTCCTCCACCACTTGATCGAGCATACGAGGACACGAATCCATCACCAGCGCCCTCTACAAATCCTTCTCCTCCATCGGCAGCAACACCAAACTACGTGGTTTTGGTCCTTCCTCCATCAGTGTCTCAAAGATCCCATTCCCCACCGGCACCTCCTCAAGAACAACCCGAAATCTTCGCTCCAGATCTCTCTCCATCCTCTCCACCTCGATCGTCTCAAGAACCAGACCCGGATGTCTTGCCACCGGCATCGCCTCAAGAACCAGACCCAAATTCCACGATCTCACCGCCTCCGCAGATCCTATCCCCATTCCCAATCCCATCACCCTGGGCGTATTCACCATCGCAATGCCAGTGCCCGTGAGAATGCCCTGGAGTGATCGATCGCCTAGTTGAATACCTGGAAGAGAGCGCTTCTATGGCGCTCCAATGTAGCTCCTTTGAATGAAAGAAAATTTAGGGCTCTTGGGATTATGGATACCTCCATCGGGGCCGGGGAGACGATCGTCTCCTTCGGCAGGCACGCCGGCAAGCCGCTCCGATCGCTGTCCGGAAGCTACCTCTCCTGGATCGCCGGATTCAAGCGTCTCCAGGTAGAGAATCTCCTCGTGTGGGCAAAACTTGCGGAGGAGGTTCTCGACGAGCGCAAGAGGAGCGTCGGCCTCATGGATTTCTCGGCGCTGATACGGAAATGCGGGATCTCCAGGGACCTGGAGGCGAGCAAGCGGATCCACGCGAGGGTCCTAGGCAGCGATCACAGCGGCAGCACACTCATCGGCAACCTCCTTGTCCAGATGTATGGGAAATGCGGCGCTCCGGATCTTGCCAGGGAGGCTTTCGAGGCGATCGATGCCAAGAACAGCTTCTCGTGGACGATGATGATCATGGCTTACACCCAGAACGGGCAAATGCGCGAGGCGCTGAATTTCTACCGAGCGATGGACACCGCCAAGGTAAGACCGACTAGTTTCTTCTTCTCGGGGATCCTCGCGGCTTGCTTGGAGCCCGGGGATCTCCCTACCGGCATGAGAATCCATTCTCACATCGTGGATTGTGGCTGTGGATCAGATATCGTGGTGGCAACCGGGCTAATTGGAATGTACTCGAGGTGTGGCAGCGTGGATCGAGCAAGAGAAGTTTTCGACAGGATGAGCTACAGGGATACAGTGGCTTGGACTGCCATGATCGCAGCGTATGCCCACACTGGGCATCCCCGGCAAGCGATGGAGCTTTTCAAGGCCATGGACGTAGCGCCAAACGCTTTCACGGTGTCGTGTGTTCTTGGAGCTTGCTCGGACCTGGGAGCTGCGGAGGAGGGGAGATTGTTCTACAAGAGGGTGGTGTCCGAGGGACTGGAAGCCACGACTCCAGTGCTTAACTCGCTGCTCGACATGCTTTCCAAGTGTGGGAGATTGGACGAGGCCAGGGAGGTGTTTAACAGCATGGGAGTGAGGAGAGACGTGATCTCTTGGAGCTCCATGGTTGCAGCGCTCGTCCGGCACGAGAGCTTCAAGGAGGCGCTGGAGTTTTACAGGCGGATGGATCTGGAAGGAGTGAGGCCGGACTTGTTCGTGTTTGCCAGCGTCTTGGACGCATGCTCGAGGCTCGGGGACTTGGAACAGGGAAAGGCTGTTCACGAGAGGCTGCGAGCTGGAGGCAGTGAGCTCGACGTGGTTGTGAGCAGCGCCCTCGTCAACATGTACGCCAAGTGCAAGAGCCTCAAGGACGCGAAGCAAGTCTTTGACAGGATCTCCAACAAGGACGTGGTTGCCTGGACTACGATGATCGTGGCCTTCTCCCAAGATGGTCATTCGTCCGAGGCTCTGGAGCTCTACGAACAGATGATTGCTAGAGTGGAGAAGCCCGACGCGTACGTATATGCGAGCGTTCTCCGCGCATGCTCGAGCGTGGGATCTCTCGCGAAGGGCCGGGAGATTCACGCTCGGATTCTATCCGAGAAGATGGAGCTGGACTTTGTGATTAAAAACTCTCTGCTCAACATGTACCTCAAGTGTGCCAATCTGGAGGAAGTGAGGCGGATGTTCGACTTGACACCTCAAAAGGACACGATCCTAGTGACAATGATGATCTCGGCGTATGCTCAAGGTGGCCATCCGGAGAAGGCGCTCGACCTTTATCACGAGATGGAGACTTGGGACGTGAGACCGGATGGCTTTACGTACGCTAGCGTCATAAACGCATGCACAGGCATGGGAGCCCTGGCAGACGGAATGGTGGTTCACAGGGAAATCGTCCGAGATGGTTTTGACGGAGACCCGGTCGTCCAGAACTCGCTGGTAGACATGTACAGCAAGTGTGGAAGCCTTGGAGAAGCTAGAGCGGTGTTTGACGACATGGTGAAGAGAGACGTGGCTACATGGACTGCACTCTTCTCCGGCTATGCAAAGCATGGCTTCAACAACGAGGCACTGGAGACGTTCTGGTGCATGGCACTCGAGAGCATGGCGCTGGACGAGATTATATTCACGACAGTGCTACAAGCGTGCAGCCACCTGGGCTTGGTGGACGAGGGCCGAGACTACTTTGTGTCGATGAGGAGAGACTTTGGATTGGCACCAGGCGTGGAGCACTACGTTGGAATGGTTGATGTTCTGGGAAGAGCTGGAAGGCTGAAAGAGGCCGAGGAGCTACTGGGTGGAATGCCGTATGAGCCAACTCCAGTGGCATGGACGACGATCCTGGGTGCCTGTAAAATCCATTCGGACACCGAGCGGGCGAAAAGGATGAAAGCGGACACTGAAGAGGAGGAGGAAACGGCGTGCATGCTTATGTCGAACATATACGCTGCTTCAGCCTCCAAGAACGAACTGTCACGCAATAAGTCATCTCTCTTTGTTTTCTCCTAGCTAACTCGCCCGTTTTGCAGAGAAGTTTTGAACTAGGTTTTGGGTTTTAGGCGATGGAAGTCACGATTTTGAATGCTAGTGGCGATGGAGTCGGTCCTTCATTGCTGCTGTCGCATGGCGGAGGAGCAGGCCAGTACCTGGTGAATGTTCCAGAGGGCTTTAGTCGACTTGTTCTGGAGCACAGGATTCGGCCTTGTGCAAAGCTGTCTTGCCTTGTGCTTACTTCGATTCGTCCAGTTGCAGCTGTAAGTTTTCGGACTTGCCATCACCTATGACTTGATTCTGTTTTTGGCACAGGGTGGCATCGGTGGTCTCATTCTAAGGCTCGCTCAAGATGGTCACGAAAAACTAGAAGTGACTGGGCCACGGGGTTCTGCTGCGTTTGTTCACGCACTTCGTCACATCTTTCGCTGGCGGCATCCAAAAGTGAGTTTCAAGTTTGCATTTTAAGTGGCTACTGCAAAACTGATCCCAGCTTCTTACAGGTTTTTGTCAGTGAATGGACAGAGGGAAACGTACCTGTTTTTGAAGACGAGTATGTCGTTATCTTCCCCATTCTGGCGTCGGGAAACCGCTGCCAGTCTTGTGTTTACCAGCAAAACGCATCTTTCTCTCGGCATCATGAGGAAGATCTCTTGCCTGAGCTCGATGAAGACTCCAATCCTGTTTTCGTCAGAGATACCAGAGGCAACCACAGCATTGCGGATTGTACAGCTCCAGGTTCTTCTCCTGTCACCACTGTCCTCGGGTATACTTTTTACTTGAAGAAGCTTAATTCTTCTTTGCTCATACTGGATATCCCAGACTGTTCGACGTTGTCTGGTATGGAAGCCGATGCCATCTTGCACTGCGAGCAGCACCCGCAAGGAATAGCAGCAGTGATTCATTTGAGCCCGGGACCAGTGGTGACGTCTGAAGAGTACAGCAGATGGATTGAGAATTATCAGTCGTTCCATGTCCTGGTTAATGCAAGCTCGCCGCAGTATGGATTCCAGGCTTCCTTACGAACCACAGCGATGCTCAACATGGTTAGCAAGAAGTTCTTTCCCATCCCAGCTAACTGCAATGAGTGCGAGCCTTCAGCAGCGAAACGTTCAAGCCTTACAAGTGGTCACCTTCTTTCGCGGATAGTTTTGGAACGGGGAAGCTGCGGTGACATTGTCGTGCGCATGGATCACTCGAAATGTATCGAAAACTTCAACTTCACGAACTATCAAGAGGACCTCTTAAAACTGCAGCCTTGGCTCAGAGACAAACTTCTCAACATGGAGAGCCAGCGTTGCAGTTCCAACCAGCTCGTGGCAAGAGCCATGAAACGAAGTATGCTACGCAAGAGTTGTGGACAAAGCCGCACAGCAGTGTGCTCGAGCGATGACTTTGAGGTGCAGTTTTTCGGCACGGGCTCGGCAGAGCCGAGTAAGTACCGGGGAAGCAGTGGTGTTTTACTTCGTCTCCGAGGCTCCGCTGCAATGCTGCTCGATGCTGGTGAAGGCGTGCTCGGACAGATTTTCAGGAGTTACGGCGAGGCCAAAGCTTTGGAAGCCGTCAACTCTATCGAGTGTCTGTGGTTATCCCACAAACATGCCGACCATGTCCTGGGAGCTGTGGCCATTGTTTGCTCGCAAGCACGGGAGAGAACAAAGCCCCTACTGGTTATTGGATCCACTGCCGTCGTAAAGTGGCTTACTGAGGTACAGGTTTCTTCTTTTCTTGCTTCATGACAAGGACTGCGAATTCCTCATATCATTTTTGCTTATCAGGTTTGCAATGCTCACGCACAGTCGGGTTTTCCATTACCAGCTTTCGTAGTGATGCACTTCGAAGAATTTGAAGGCTCGCACCACCTTGGACGTGTCCTAGAGACTCTACAGCTGAAGAGCATTGCCAGTGTTCCCGTTAATCACTGCTACGAGGCCTATGGTCTGGTGCTACACGGACAAACTGGATGGCACTTGGTTTACTCGGGTGACACCCGACCTTCGGACCGGCTCATTCAAGCTGGAGCCGGCTGCACGCTGCTCATTCACGAGGCCACGTTTGAGGATTGCTTGGAAAGTCACGCTCGGAAGAAACGGCACTGTACCGTGAGCGAGGCTCTGCAAGTTGGAAGTCGAATGCAAGCGGAGCAAGTCATCTTGACGCACTTCAGCCAGAGGTATCCCAAGGTATGGATGGATTCACCTTCGGACAAGCCAAGTTTTAATGTTGTTTTTCTTTCGTTTTACAGGTTGTGGAGATTGATGTGACCAGCTATCCAAATGCGTGTGTGGCGTTTGACGGCATGGTGGTGACAAGCTCGAGCATGAGGGGCTTGAGAGAATTGCAAGGAGTAGTGCGTATGGTTTTGGCAGCACAGGATCCATGGATTGCCAAGGCTCCTCCAAGCCCTGAAGGCTGGCAAAGTGATACACGCAAACGACATCTGGAAGGAAGTCTCGACGCTCCAAAGCCGCCCTCGGTTCCCAAGCACATCAGATGGGAATCAGACTAAACAGCCATCTCGAGACTTCCCGAAAATCTATACGCCGGCAAAAGCAGTGTCACTACAAGCTTGAGGAGAAGCTACGACAGCTTTTAAAACTACTCCTTTCACCTCCCCAGCAGACCTTAAGCTGCTATTCCACAAGCTACATGCGCTCCAGCAACCAAAGCCACGAACTTCTGGGCAGTTGGTGGTTTTGAGGAAGGATTTTGGAATCGAGAATGGCACGAACCTCATACTCCGGTTCATTGGCAATGCAGTCCAGTTCTTAGAGGATGTTTGAGGACTTTGTAGGAAGGTGGAGCTTACGAACTTGAATGGCTCAATTCTTTCGTTTGACAAAGAATTGGGATTGCATCAGGCATTTCTCCCCAGCAGATTGTTGCTGCAGCCAGCATCAGGCCACAAGAGTTTAATGGTGTAGTTTAGGACATTTAGAAAACATTGCGGAGCTTTTCACAATGTAATGCTGCAATTGTTTGCAAGTTGGCAGCATTCTATTAAAACTGCTTAAATTCACTAAATATTTATAAACATACTTTGGAAATATCACCAAGAACATCAAGAAGCTTTTGATCGTATCGAAATTTCGATCCAAGAGTTTCAAAGTTGATCATGAAATTTGGGGGCGTAGATCCTCGGAAATAAAGCATTACGACGATCTGATGCTCAAAGTTCGCAATTCTGCTGCATGAGGCGATCCCCCCTTGCCAACAATGGGAATCACGATTCACCAATGGCACATCTAAAAGGAGCTATGAAAATGAGAAAGGCTTGTTTTATTTATACATGCTTGAATCTATTCACCTTTGATCTTTTGTAGAAACTCCTGCTTTGGAACTGGACACAATCACACAATCAATTTGATTGAAAAGCAAACTTCACGGGGTATCTTGAAAGAAGGAAGTGGATTTTAAGCTCGAGACTCAGAAAAGAAAATCGGAGTTTTTATTTAAAGCTGGCTGCCATAGATCTATAGTAGCACACATACACACATTGATGTCTTCGAAAGTTTATGGGTGGTCGACACCATAGAGCGCTTGGACATTGACCTCTTTCCAGAAGTGACTCTCTTGGGGCACATCTTGGTGCAGCCATAGCCATTCTAGTAGTGCGCTCCACACCATTCCTGCAAAGCCACATGCAGCCATATCCATTCTTGAGGCAGCATGAGTAGTTCTTAGGTGGCTCACACAGTTGCATGCACCCATATCCGTTGGGAGCACTGGTACTCTTTGCCTTCTTCTCAGTCTTGCATGCACCCATAAGTTCCACCCACAACTCTTGTCAGTCCTGAACATACAATAAAAACATGTCCTCTTACAGGTGGTTATGGAGCTGGGAGGCAATGCTCCATGCATAGTGGAAGATCTCGTTCCAGACTTGGAGGACGTTGTCATCCCACATGTCTCAGTAATAATTGATTGAATTATCAATCATAAAATTAAGATTAGATTGAGTTCCTAAAGACCAAAAGAAAATACAAACCTGTGTTATTTTATGAGATGCAGAACCAAATACTGAGAAATGAATGAAAACAATGAAGTAAATGGAACAAAGAAAGAAAATTGCAGTATTAACAAACAACCATCACTTCAAAGTCTCTTGTGGAAGAAAGAGGAAAAGCATCTCCAGCAATACTCAGGAATTGAGATCTAAGTAGCTTAGAGTTCCATAGAAAAAGAAAGAGTTTTTTTTATCTTTTTTCAGATAAAGTTTTGTATAAAAGAAGTAGAAAAGAAAAAGGAGGTAATTATAGAGAAGAAGAAAAAAATCATGAAATTTGTGGTTATATTTGGGGTCTTTCAACTTCTAGATTTCATACTTATTTCTTACAAGAACTTTTACATTCATTTCTTTTCTGATCGCAATGAAAATTGACTAAGATGGTTTTTTCATAAAACTTAGCAATCAATTCAAGAAATAGTTTATTGTAAAAGTAGCCTTTTTATTTATAAAACAAGTAAATTGTGTTTTTTTTTGTTAAAAGAGCTTAATCATTATATAATAACATTTGTTTCGATTTTGGATCCAACTTGAGAAAAGATATGTTGACTTTTTTTCTAGGTATAGTTTTTCTATTTAAAACAAATAAAAGAGATTTTTTTCTTTTTTCAGATAAAGACTTCAAATTCATCTGGAAGAAGTAGAGAAGAATAAAGAAGTAAATATAGGGAATAGAAAGAAAATCATGAAAATTATAATTATACTTGGGCTCTTTATAGTCATGGCCTTCATATAAAAGAAGGTAAAATTAAATTATTATTTTAAATTAATATTTACTATTTATAAAAACCTTTAAATTCATTTATTTACTAATCACAATAAATATTGCAATTTTTATAATTTTTTTTCTCTATTTTTACCTTCTTTTTTTTTACATGTTTTGCATAAAACTTGAAGTCTTTATCTTAAAAAAGAAAAAAAACTCATTTTTAATTTTAAATAGGAAAAATTATATCTAAAAGTTTTTTAACATGTTTTCAATCTATACCTCTTAAATGGAATTAAAAATTGAAAGCAAGGCTACTAGCTTTTTTCATTGATAATAAAGAAAAAATATAATTTAATTATTTTATAGAATTAAAAAATTATCTAAGTCACCAGTGTTGAAGAAACGCTTTACTAATCATGCAATCAAATGATTAAAATAACTTCGTCATAAAATTTAACAATAGTTCAAAGAATTATATATAGCAAAGGCATCAATATGCTAATGAAAAGTTCATAAAAATGTAGTTACTTGAGATCTTTAGAATTTTTGCTTTCTTTTATAAAAAAGTAAACCAAATTGTTATTTTTTAAATTAATATTTACTCTTTATAGGAACTGATATAGATTTTTATTACCAAAAATTACATAACAAATTTATTTGAAGTTTTATATAACATATTATTATACTATGTAAATTTTACATCCTTTTGAATTTCTTGAAATTTAGAATCTTGAAGTTTTTTAAGTTTATTTTTGCATTACTTTAAAAGGAATTCACAAACGACCTCTTCCTTACAACTCGAATAAAATAGCAGATTATACATCATATAATTTATATTTGTTATCTGCTTGAATTTAGATGATAATTTTAAACTATAACGTGTTATCTAAAATGCATTTCACTAATAACTGAAGAGTTTTACTAAATACATTTTTCCTTCAAAAATTTGAATTCACTTATTCTTTGATCGTTATGAATATTTATTGAAATTGTTTCTTTAAAGAATTTAATAAGTAAATTTGTGAGGGCCAAGTGTACGGCTATTATGCCGTATGCTAATATTAGCATAAAACCGTTGGATTGGTTTCAATCCAGACCCTTCGCTCCTGTATACAATCTAGGGTTTTTTGGGCTAATGGATATGCACATTTTCTATATTCCCTTTCCATATTCCAAGCATTCACACTAGTGGAGGTGAGGGGCACCTTTGATTGTCCCTGAGGAGTGTTTGGATTTGGGATTTTGGTTTAGATCTAATTTTTGCATCATTTAAATCTAGCTTTTTCCATTTCCTTTCTTTTGTTCTTTCCTTTTAGGATTTTGGTTTAGATCTAGCTTTTTACATTATCTAGATCTACCATGTCCTTCTAACTTTTTATCATTTTTTTTCTTTTGCTCTTTTTTCGTTCGTCTTTATGGCAGATTAACAATCTCCTCCTTTGACTCTAGAGAAACAGTTGGTACAATTGCTTGATGCTATGCACTTGTAATTGAACAACTAAACTCAGTTGATGGTAGCATTCATGGCACGTGGTACAACTCCTCCTACTTTTGGTGCCAATCCTTGTATTCAGCTAAAGTTCTTTTGTGGGAATCCTGGGGATGATGTATACCATTGGTTCGATCACTTCATAGTGATTGCCACATATTATTTTTGGGATGATGCTCGACGTTTGCATGAGTTTCCCATGTGTCTTCAAGGGATAGCATTGCAGTGGTACAATGGTTTGAGCGCAGCCACTCGTGGGGATTGGAATGTTCTCCCAGACGTCTTCAAACGCACTTTCGAACATACCGACGACTGTGATGATGCTTTTCAACAATTGCATCGTCTTCGCCAAGGGCCATTTGAGTCGATGATGCAATTTAGCGTTTGTTTTCGAAGTCTTTTGCTTCATGCAGAGCAGAGCGAATTAAGCTATGAATGTTGTGGCTAGCACTTTGTCAGGATCTTGTCGGTCTTGTGCATGCACTTGCTCCCACCACCCTTGATGATACTCTTCACTTGGCACAACATTATGAAACGTCGCCTTTTCCACTTCTCGTTACACGTCTTTCAGCTTCACTTCCTATGGGTGATGGTCCTGTTCCAATGGAAGTTGATGCTGCTATTGCTCGAGTCCAAGGACAAGGGCGAGGACGTGGTCGTGGCCGTGATGTTCACTGGGCGTGTGGTGAAATTGGTCATACTTATTAGCATTGTCGGTGTTTTCCAAATTGGTGACCTCCATTTTCTGGGTGGAGACCTTGGTGTCAGCAACGTCCTATTGGTGCTGCTGCAGTGGAAGGTTTGGACACCGAGATGCATCTGCGAAACGAAGAGTCGCGCAAGTAACGGAGGGACCTTGTGCGAATAAGTCAATGACCCCTCTATCTTTCTTTTAGGAGTATCATCAAGGGGTTCACTCGGCACCAGTTCATCCAGTGTTTACTTTCCAAACTCACTTTTATAAGAAGAGGTCTCCTATTATTCTCTCCGTGTTGGTTGATATAAGTTCAAGTTTATCTTCTATTGCTCAACCTATTGCCATATGTTGCCATCTACACTTGTGTCGTGCGGTGGAACCCGTTTTCATTTTTTATGGCAACAGCCGTACACATGCATGTGCACGGGATGAGGCGGACCTAGTTATACATGTGGGCAATTTCGAGCTTGAGTTACAGTCATTGCAGGTGGTGCCAAGTCAAACTTTTGACCTCATTCTTGGTATAGATTGGTTGCAGTGCAATAATGCTAAGTGTGACTTTGAGGCTTCTCCCTCTTGTTTCATACTTCCTTATGTTTCATCCATTCCTCTCACTTCCATACCTCTTCGTCCCTCTACTTCTACCTTTGCTTCTATTACTTTTGTTCCCCCATTATTTCTTCCTATGTTTTTGTCTTGTTCTATTCTTCCTTTCTCCGATCCCTCCAACGATCTTTGTGTTGCAGCGGTTAACCAGCTCATGAAGGAGTATTCTGATCTCTTTGAATTTGACCTATCGTCCAGAGCCAAGATTGCCACACGTCATCCGATTCCAACCGGGAATGCTCGTCTAATCAAGGTTCCTGTTTGTCATCGGTTACCCAAGGAGATCAAGATTTTACGTGTAAATGTCAAAGAGATGTTGGAGAAGGGTGTTATTTAGAAGTCACGAAGTCCTTGGGCATGTGAACCTCATCTTGTGACGAAGCCTAATGGGAGTATTCGTTTCTGCATCGACTATCGTCCGTTAAACGAAATGACGATCCCAGATGTGTACCCTCTTCCTCACACTGCCGATCTCTTG